TAGCTTCATCTACAGATAACCCGTTTCTTGACCTTGGAACTTTATAACTTTGGGGGGCTGGGGGGCTCCGCCCCCCAGCCCCCCCCTTCCTTCACGACAGAGGCGATCTGCCCGCAGAAAACTCGTTTTCCGCCGTTTTTTAGGTGTTTTTCGGCTATAAAAACTGAACCATTGAGCTAGGATGGTGAAATTTCGCGTGTGCCGAGCCAAGAACATACCAAATAGCCCGCAAAATCTCACCCAAAAATCGGCCGAGCCGTTCAGGAGGAGTAGTGTACACAGACAGACAGACAGACAGACAGACAGACGAAAAAACTTTTCAACCGCGCTGGAGTAACAGGCTTCGCTATCGCTCAGCCAATGAATTTATGTGGTAATTCTTATAAAAATTTTGCAATTCCCTTTAAATACAAAATACACTTCGGTACCAAAAAAACAAACAGTACATTGAGCAAACAGAGGCAAGTCATTTCAATGCGATACAAAAAAACCCACTTTCACAGTAATACTTAGTTCCAAAGACAAAAACAGATGTGAGAGAAGCGGAGCACATAGTATGACCAGCTTATCAATGTAACCCCAACATTGTTTAACAATAAAGTTCCTGAACTGCAGAACTTCACAACCAGACACTTAAACTTTTTCTATCGAAAAATCCTTCATTAGTAGAAAATAACTGGCACAGTTGCAGGAATTTTTCATGATAATTGTGTAGGGAAGGTTCATTCGATTTTAAAAAAACTCGGCATAAATCTTGTTTTCCCTCATGCTTTCTTTCACAATGCATAGCCCAGATGTGAACTGGGGGGCCATTCAAAAAAATTGATCGTAATAGTGGAGCATTGTATATGTTTACTTTTTCGGGGGGTCATTAAATAATGAAGGTACATTTCAGGGTTTTCTTGGATTAATACTTCCAAGTACCGTCTCCATCCATAAAAAATACTGGAGACATCAAAAAATGAACAATTTCTTGAAGTCTCAAGAAATAGCGCCAGACATAATCATTTTCAGGAACAAGGGGGCCTATCATTAATCCAAGGTGTCTTACAATAAACGCATTTCTGAAGAGGATAAGTTGATCGAACGAGATGGTAGGTTTGGCCCTCCAGAAAACTTTGCAGCTGAGGCTTATTATTCTTATCAACCTTGCCATAATCAAATAATTTTACAATATCAAAAAAATCCTCAACAGAAAAGTATTGCCGAACAACAACAAAATGATACAATACATGGGCCACTCCATATCTACAAGCTCCTTCCAACAGGTCATGCATCACATCAACAGAGGGGTTTAAAATACAATGATAGCCAGCTACACCATTAAAAACACACCTCTCCTTAAGCCTTTCCGCGCGAGTTTTTGCCCCCTCGATCGTGCTACTATGATTTTCTAGAACTTCGGAGCAGCCGCAGTGCCACTACTGTGGGCCCACATTCTTTGGGGCCGAAAAAACCTCAGGCCTTTTTTAGGGGTGGTCATTATATTATGGGACATTCTACCTTGGCCCATTACATGCATGGCCCAAAAAAATCGATGGACAAAAGGGACCGGGCCCTTTTCCTGCGGACATTTCTTCACTGTACCGAAAAGTACACCACCGGGAAAGAAAAGTACAACGAAAAGAATTGCGAGTTCGAACCAGGGAGACCACCAAACTTGGCTCAATAAAAGGTTTTCCCCCCAAAGTGGAGAGCTTTCACTTGCCATTAGTTCAAGTTTCGTCAAAAACGGTCCCTTTGGGTTTTTGATTCTACATGGACCATCACAGAAGGTCCAAGAAGCCTTTCTCAGAGATAATGGGTACAGCATTTTTTTACTTTTTCTTCCCCTTTTCACGTAAATGCCCAATAACTTGTTTATTTTCGAGTCTAATTCTATAACTTGTGTTGACATTTTTTGGTTGTCCCCGCCTAATCAAATCTATTTCCGTGATCATTTAATTTTCAATCCCGCTTTTAGTTTCTTCTTTAGTTTTTTTTCCCTTTCCCCCCCTTTATTTTTACACTTATAAAAAATTGTGTTGAAGCCCAAGAGCAAACGAACGGCACTGTTTTTTTAAAGATGATGGTCAAAACTATAAGGGGGTACCTTAATTGGAATGTCGGCTGATTCTGCAGGAAGCTGTAGTAAAAAACATTAAAAAAAAAAATTTTCATAGTTATTTTTAAAGTGTTTTTCAAACGTGCAGTTTGATTCTAAATATTAAACGCGAACTGGGCTAAATTTATTTTTTTGGGCAGCGGATGACCAACCCTTTTTAAAACCACTACGTGATGGGTTTAGTGTAGTTCAGTTCGGAGATATAACGGGTGTACTTTTCTTACCCGAGCTCAGAGTGTACTTTTCTTACCCACCTACCCCCAAGAAGGGGGGAACTATTTATCTATTTAATTATGATTTTGGTTTTTTGGACCAGTATGTTTGTTTCTGCACGAACCACCGCCTTTTGTATGTAAATTACAACGTAATAAAAATTTTTGTTAATTGGTATGCTACTTATGGCTTGTTTTTCACCTGCTTGGAGGGACATAGTCTGGGCGCCCTGTTAAAAAAGATCCAAGGCCCCCGCAGCTCTGCTGCAATCATTGGGAAAGGCCGGGGTAGCCAATAGCACACTACAATGGTCTTCGTTTAGTAAAACAAATTTGAATTGCCCAAGCTACCAAATCACCCTCAGTTCAGGCGCAAGGCCCCGGTGACCTGAAATGACCCCCTACGCACGGAATCACCCGGCCGCGTCTCACCTTTAGTCCCACCTGCTCGGCAGCGCCGATCCGCCTTCCGCTCGCTAGGCCGTCCTGGTCACCGCCGGTCAATCAGGCGAGCGCTGCCGTCGCCGCCAGTAGCGCTCAAGCCAGGGGAGGGGAGGGGGGAAGGCACGGAGGGGAGGGATGGGGGCGGGGGAGCCATCAACGGCCACACACTGTCCCATTCTGCACCGACCTTCGCTGCAACATGTTCACTTACGAGGACCTAGTCGCCGCCTTAGCGTCGTGGTTCAGGAGCCACACCGGCCCTGGTGGAGGTGAGTACCGCGTCTTCGCCATCGTGTTGATCATTACCGTGACCTACCTCTCACCGGTCCCTGTCCTCCCGCTTCAGTCTTCAGCGACGAAGTGACGTCGACGACCACACCGTGGCTTGAGGGGCACCTGCGTTTGACCCTGGGCGGGGTGGCCGACGAGGGCCTACACCCACTCCTGGATCGCCTGGACGCGGACGGACAGTGGCTGGCCTCACTTCAGGCATGGCTGCACATCAACCGCCACCTCCTGGGTACGTACCTTGCCTCCTCGGGTGACGGACAACTCGCCCCGGTTAACTCGTTCCCGGTCTTTCTCGCACCCGGGCTAAGCCGCCCCCCGTTTCATCTCAGATTCGCCCCAGCAGTTGTGCCAACTCGGTCCCAATGCTCATTTTTGGAATTTCCCGCCAAATACCCGACCGGCCTTGCTTCTGAGCGGTTCCATGCTAAAACAAACGGACTCTTGGAAACTCATCTCTTCGATTTGGATGTAACTTTTTTAGGGGTAGGGGCCATTATGAAAAGATCCAATGTCAGAGGATTTTGCGATATATCACTCCGTTTGGCTGTTGTAACAAAGCAAAGTTTTCACTTTGGTCAGGATCATGGTATTTCCTTTATTTTTCTCCGTACTTTCTGGATGTTTTTATATTTTTCCGACAGTGGTTCGTTATGTTAAAAGAGCTGGGGAACAAGATGGAAATTGTTTCGAGACGATTGGGTGAAGTTTTGATGTCGCTCTCTCCATTTAACGTCATTTTTTTTTCTCCTCGAAAAATCGATGTTTCAAAAATAGCTCATCTTCGATTTCGATGTGACTTTCCTCACATGATCCTCTCACATATTGGAAGAAAATCCTAAAAGGATTTGGTCGTCCCACTGTAACTTTTGTTTCTGGATACGAAAAGATGTATCATTTTGGCCGTTTTACTTGAATTCTCGAACCAAATTTCTGAGTTTGCGTCGAAGCTTACGACACGTGAGCATTGTCTTGAGACGAATCCGTTGATGTATAGAAAAGTCGTTTTGGACAATTTTGAAAATTTACACCCTATTTTAGTATGAGAGAATTGGGGGCGACTTAACCCGGGGACCAAAGGGGCGGGACCGGGAAGGGCGTGGGTCGGGATAGACCGGGGACGAGTTGTCCTAGATCGGCCTCCTCACCGCCTCGCCCCTTCGGTCGCCCCCTGCCGCTTGTTGTTATTGTTGTCCAATCACTTACCCCGTTCCTGGCTCGTTTCCAGCCAACCTGTCACCGCTCGTGGCCTTTGCGACCTGGGCCGGGTATCGTCTCGACGAACTCAGCCTGCCCGGGGCGGGCCTCGATGTGGGGGGAAATCCCCCAGGACCCTCGCTGCGTCCTTCCGCCCCGGCGGCTCAGGAGCAGCCGTCGTGCTCTTCGTGGTGTCCATGCGGCTGCGCGGGGTTCGAGCCACTCAAGCGGTGCTCCTCTTCTGATTCTGGGCCGCAGACGCCCGTCCAGAGGCCCCAGGGAGCCCCGTCAAGCCAAACCCCTTCCCCCCCCCCATGATAATTGACCTGACCCTCACCCCCTCCCCCGCCCCGGCTAACCCCTCCTCAGTTCTGATCATAATCCCACCGCCCTCGTCCTCATCAATTCAGACCCTCACCCCTCCGCCCCCCTCCCCGGCCATTACCATCAACTCCTCACCCCCTTCAGCCCTCTCCTCTCTCCCCCCACCCTCCCCAATACTCCCCGTACTGGCGACCAAGCTCACCAGATGGCCACGAAGGGTGCTATACGTACAATCCCTCAGATCCGTGTTACTGCTTCAGGGTCGAGGAAGTCAGGGACCCCGAAATTCCAACTGATAGGGAGCATCGTGAGGTGCTCGTCACAGAGGCGGAGGAACGAGAAGGCCATTCCGAGGAAGATCCGTCAGGAGAGCAGCCACCACCGGATCCGATGGGCTAGGGAGCTCAGTAGCCAGCAGGGAGCAGCAGCCGTGACCAATGTACCAGTTTACTCCTCCTTAGTAGAGCAGCAGTGTTCCTTTGACGAGTTGAATAAACTTAACAAACATTACCACTGTCTTTCCTTCCCAAAATCAAAGAGCGTTAGACATCCACCACCATCCCCAGCACTCATCCTATTCAACGCAGTTGAGCAAAGCATTCATGCATTACAAGCTTTCCGTTTGGCGACTTGGCTAGGAGGCAGACATTTACTAAGCCAGGCAAAGCACAGGCATCACGCTCACTGCCCCCCTTCCCAGGGAGGAGCGCTTGGAGCTACCGCCACGATGGTTCCAGGCTAGTCCCTTTCCCACCGCCCTCCCCTAGAACTGAGACAAGAGTAGTTCTAAGTGTAAAAAGTAAAACAAACAGAAAGTTTTTTTAAAGAGCGACGGCCCAGCAGAAAAAAAATTATGATAGATCCAAAGAAAATATGAGACAGTACCGTCAGAGAATCAAGAGAAATATGAAGAGATGAAAGCCAAGGACATATTAAGAAAAATCAAGCCAAAGAGTCTGGTAAACTGATGTTTAGATGTTCGAAAAATGTCAGCAATCCGGGGACATAGCTAGTGGGTGATTCCGCGCGTAGAGGGCGTTTTCGTGTCCACACCCTCCCCAGAGCGAACTTATTCGAGTGCAGTCCATTTATAGACTTAAGAACCTTGTTTGGCACTAGACTAGCTTGTTCCCTTTGTATATGGACTTTCAAAGCTAACATGGGACGCGGGAGAGGGGCCAAAAGGGTCGATTTTGTAAGTTCCGTCATGTCCATTCGCACCTTACACCAACTTTGCGGCTCTATAACCCTTTGCTCCATCCAAATCTTCGAATTCCACACACACGCATCAAATCTCTAACTAATAGTGACTATCTTGCTTGAATTTGAAGATCGTATATTGATTGGAAGTGTACTTTCAGAACGCGTACTAAACACTGTTAAAAAAAAATTCTTAAAATTCAGACTAAATAGTCAAAAGCAGATTTTCATAACGTTGGTCTGAACATTCAGAGTAAGAATTGCTCTGAAAAGTAAGACTGTGAAAATCTGAAATTTTTGACTTTGTTAGTCTGATAATTTAGACAAGAGAATAGTCTGAAAATTCAGACCGCAAAATTTTTTAATCGTAAGAGCTTCCGAAATCAAAATTTTCTTCGTCGGTCTAATCAGTAAACCTTTCCTCTGAGAGAATGGCGCCCCGAACTGTACCGAAATTTGGTACTGCTACTGCGACTCGAACCCCGGACCTCCGGGTTACGAGGCAGCCACCTTATCCACTAAGCCGTGTGGCGCTTGTGGGCTCCGAGGAGCGTCGAGCCGAGTACATGCTGCGACTCGGCGCAGCCGTCCGACAGGGGTCCTGACGGTCCATACCGAAGTTACTCATCGGTTTTCAAGTAATCCACATACCATTATTAAATGTTGTGTTTGACGACATGATTTTGACTTCAGAAATACAGAGATTACAAATTGTATTCAGACCAGGCGATAAAAAATTTGGACTGCGGTCTGAATCTACAAGAAAGACCATTGATTTCTGAAAACTAAGAGCATCAATTGTGAATTTTCATCTCCTCGGTCTGAAAACGCATTTCAGACCGTGCAACCCAAAAAAATTTATACTAAAAGTCTGAACTTTAAGACTTGAGTCTGAATTCCCATTTCAGAGTAGGAAGTCTGAAAAAAATGGTCTGAATTTTCAGACTCTTTTTAACAGTGAATGTCCACCGTACTGCGACATTTACCTTAGCGGTTTCAAAGTAAGCACCACAAAAACTACTAAGAGTGCTCCCTGCTCAAAACCACCGCCGTATTTAGAAACAGCACGGTCTGTTTACCAAATGAACGAGTTTCGGTGGTGAAAATGCGAGGGGGGTGAGTGTGAGAGTAGAAGTTGCGTGTGAAATCGGTGGGTTGTAACAATTGGTGTAATTTCCGTATGCCCCTCTCGCTCCTCTTCTATCGGGTTTTGAAAAACATCCTACACGTGAAAAGATGTCTCTTGACGTCGAACTCGTGTGCCAAACTTATGGCATATTTCTGTGGCGATAGGCATTTGCAGTGAGCCAGAAACATCTGTTCGTAATTTCCGTCATATTTTCAGTAAATTCCGTCATTGGCTGAGCGATAGCGAAGCCTGTTACTCCAGTGCGGTTGAAAAGTTTTGTCTGTCTGTCCGTCTGTCTGTCTGTGTGTGTACACTACTACTCCTGAACGGCTCGGCCGATCTGGCTGAGATTTTGCATGCTTATTAGGTATGTTCTTGGCTCGGCACACGCGAAATTTCACCATCCTAGCTCAACTGGTTCAGTTTCAATAGCCGAAAAACACCTAAAAAACGGCGAAAAATCGAGTTTTCTGCAGGTAGATCACCTCTGTCTTGAAGAAAGGGGGGTCTGGGGGGCGGGGCCCCCCAGCTTCGACAAGTAAAAAAGTGACAAGGGTCAAGATCGTGTTATCTGTAGATGAAGCAACTCTATCTAGAATTAAGGGGGGTCTGGAGGGCGGAGCCCCCCAGCATGCAACACGTACGAAGTAACCGACGATGGACAAGCCAATGCCTGCCGAAGGCAGGCTAGCGCCGCAGGCCAAGGTAGGTACGCCAGGCGCGGATTGGAGGAACAGGCCGCGAGACATCGCGAAGCCTGTTACGACAAGACGCGGTCTGGCGTAAACCTACCTTGTATTTTATAGGGGGAGAAAACGAAAGTCAACTTGTAGCTCGCCCACGCTCAGAGTGTCTTCCTGGGGTTTCTATTGATGCCATCTAGGCAAAATTCCGGCCGAACAAGCAAGATTGATTACGTGACTTTCTAAGGTGGCTAAAACGGCCCCTACGCACGGAATCACCCTAGTACAGGAGCCAGTCGGAATCAGAACAATAGCAGTCGCAATTGCACGTTCAGGAGTTGCCCATGGTAGCGTGGATGGATAATTGCTCCGCCACATGGGCGTCATGCGGCAGTCTCGGCCGCAGCAGCTTCCCTTGCCACAGCTCGTTCGTCCGGCACCGAGGTGCCTGAGACATTTTTCGAAAGGTTTCGATCAGGCGCGTCGAATGGTGACCCAAAAAATCCGACCCCCCTTCATTCTAGATAGAGTTGTTTCATCAACAGATATCACGATCTTGACCCTTGTAACTTTTTGGCCCGCCCTTCTATTCAAAAAATAGGGGGAGGGCCTATGCATTTGCCTTTGTGTCTGTGTGTTGTTGTTGTTGTTGTTGTTGTTGTTGGCGTCTGTGTACAAGGAAGGAGTTGAGCTAGAGTAACCAGATTTGGAGGGTACTTCAGGAGTACCGTCTAAACAAATAATCCGGTGGTGCAAATCCCGTCCGGGTCGCACAAGGGCTGCTGCAGGTGCATCATGGTTTACATGAGCGGGAGGGGGATTTCCGACATTATTGGTGCTAGCAGGGCACATAGGGGTATTTTTGGAATCGGGGCGACGAGACAAGATGAATGGACTGGTGATTCCGTGCGTAGGGGGTCATTTCAGGTCACCGGGGCCTTGCGCCTGAACTGAGGTTGATTTGGTAGCTTGGGCAATTCAAATTTGTTTTACTAAACGAAGACCATGTCCTCATGTGGATAAGTCGATCTAACTTTTGTTTATCTGGGTTTCGTAAGCTGCTAAAGTGTCGTTTTGTAAGTTCCGTCATGGTCACCAACACCTATAAGACAACATTGCCATGCTGTAGTATATGACTCAGCCACATCAAAAGAAAACTGGCTATTTCACTCTCTCCCCTGACTTATTCTTCACAAAATTACGGAGGGTGACCTTTGTATCATCACTTGTTGAACCCGAAACAGCCTTTGGGAAAATGTCCACCGTGTGACCATGTGGCCTATGCTGTTTTTACAAATGACGGTCTACTGGGGTTCCTTTTCATTTTAGAAACTCGCGACCACTTGGGATGGAAAGAACATAAAAAACACTTCCAGAAGCCCGTGCCCACGGGACCTGGGGCGGTCAAACGACGCTTCCAGGCCGTCAGAAGAGTTCAAAACGGTAAGGGTGTAAAAATGGATGTAAATTCCGTTTCGGGCCGTAGCTCCTCCATCTGAGGGAGAAAGTTCCCACAACCTTCGCTGAAAAATGCTATTTTGGATGCTGAAAATGACACCGTCAACAGTTTTTACCTATCTTGTAACCCAGCGGTTCAGGAGACTAAAAACTTCGCTTTGTAAATTCCGTCATTATTTCTGTAAATTCCGCCGTATTTCATAGGGAGTGAAAATAAAAGTCAACTTGTAGCGCTGCCACGCTCAGAGGGGTACTGTGGGGTACTATGTATGCCATCTACACCAAATTTAGCCCCTAAAGTTGAACTTTAAAAAAGAACATTTGGTACATCCAAAATGACCCCCTACGCACGGAATCACCCGGACCTGGTCCCGACCCCATCGGCCGCTTTTACAAGTTGGCCAGATCAGGACCTTCAAAATAGGGGGCCCAGTCCCAAAAAACCATGGATTGCATGGGATCCCATGACACAAATCCCATGACAGCGCACTAAAAACCCCTGAGGCTGCGGTTCAGCACCATGGACAAGCGGCATGCCATGCAAAATGGAGGTCGTTTCCCATGGTGCAGGCCTAGCACCATGGGAGGACTTTCCCCATGATGTGAACTTTTCCATGGGTTCAGACTTCCCATGGGAAGGCAGTCCTGCTCGTGCGTTGAAGTCTCCGCCTAATTTTCAATTATAGGTCATATCATGTCATCGGTGCTCTCCAGACAAAATATGATTGCAAAATCGGATGTAGCGTCAAAAGTTTAGGGGGTGACAGTTCACCTGTGAAATGATTAAGTCCAGATCAGGCACTGATCTCATCAGTTTGTACTCACAAGGGGCTCTGCCAAGGCAAGGAAGTGCTTCCCATGACTCACACTCCATGGTATTTTCCCCCATGAGTCGCAAGACACCATGAGAAGTTGTTCCAAAAATCACGGGGAGTCGTCCCTATGGAAAGAATCGGCCCATGGGATCCCATGCACCGCCATGGCTCATGGGATGCCCCATGGTTTTTTTGGACTGGGGGTCGACCGACTAAAAAAAATAT